ATCTTATAAGAGATTGCGGGAGCGCCATCTTAAGCCCGCCCTGCAGTCAGCCCGCCTTGGCATCCACACTCCTTGCCATCAGCACGCCTTGCCATCAGCACACCTTGCCGTCAAAGCCCACCCTAGCACCCTGCTGCCCGCTCTGCCATCAGCCAGCTACTTAGACTTAGCTCGTCCGTGAGAGAGCCCACCCAGCCGTCAGCCAGCCAGCCCTGCTGTCAGTCATTTTCTATCACTCGTTATAGAGGAGTGATAGAGAGTGGAGCTGATAGTTAAAGCTCTGTTATTGTCATAGATAGAAAGCTCTGTTAGGTAGGGACATAGTAAGCTCTGTTAGGTAGGGACATTGAAATTCTCTGTTAGGGACATTGAAAGACTATTTAAGGGGCATTGAAAGACTGTCAGGGGCATTGAAATTCTCTGCTAGGGACATTAAAAGGCTCTGTCAGGGACGTTAAAAGGCTCTGTCAGGGGTATTGAAAGACTATTTGAGGGGCATTGAAAGACTCTGTCAGGGGCATTGAAATTCTCTGCTAGGGACATTAAAAGGCTCTGTCAGGGGCATTGAAAGACTATTTGAGGGGCATTGAAAGACTGTCAGGGGCATTGAAATTCTCTACTAGGGACATTAAAAGGCTCTGTAAGGGACGTTAAAAGGTTCTGTCAGGGGCATTAAAAGGTTCTGTCAGGGGCATTGAAAGACTATTTGAGGGGCATTGAAAGACTCTGTCAGGGGCATTGAAATTCTCTGCTAGGGGCATTAAAAGGCTATGTAAGGGACATTAAAAGGCTCTGTCAGGGGCATTGAAAGACTCTTTGAGAGGCATTGAAAGACTGTCAGGGGCATTGAAATTCTCTGCTAGGGACATTAAAAGGTTCTGCAAGGGACATTAAAAGGCTCTGTCAGGGGCATTGAACTTCTCTGCTAGGGACATTAAAAGGCTCTGTCAAGGGCATTGAATGACTCTGAGGGGCAAAAAACTGTTAACTGTATTTTTCAAAGTGTTTAAATCTTTTTGTTCCAAGTCTTACTCAAAAATCTTGCTTAAGTTTAGTTCTTTCTAAAGAGCGTTATCAAAATCAGCATCCTTTTCAGTCAGGTTGGGAAATCTGTATTTTTCAAAGTGTTCAAATCTTTTTTTTTTTTTTAATATTATTTATTGAAAATGTTTTTTTTTTTGTTAATATAAACAACACATACATCATACAACAGTAAAAAAGAAAATAAAAAAAGTAAATAAATAAATTTATAAATAAATTTACATTAACATAACCCCACACAGTTGGGAAAAAATTGCCAAGCCAGAATATCATTTGTTACATTTAACAAAATTTCCCCAAAAGACTAACATTAGGTAAATGGACATAACAGTGCAAACATGCAGGTCTAAATCATTAGTCTAAATCATGGGTCGTCAACCTGGTCTCTATCGCCCACTAGTGTGCGTTTCAGGATTCCAGGTGGGCGGTAGGGATTTTCTAATTTTGAGAGATTGGGCAGGCGGGTGTGAGCCGGCGGTACCCCTGCGACCGGGTACCGCCATCACCACTTGCGGCCCCGGTGTCAGGGCCACCCAATGGATGTGGATTGTAAGGGCCCTGGTCAGCGTGACCGGGCCCCCTGTGATTACATCACAGAGCTGGGAGGAAGTGACTGCACATCACTCCTCCCAGCTAACACACAGACCGTGCGGGAGGAAGCAGAGGGAGTCAGAGTGGTAACTCTGACTCCCATCAACCTGAGCAACCACTGGACCCCAGGGAAAGTCACCCTCCTGCACCTAAAAGGTAGGAAACAGGAGGGTGACTAAAATATTTTGTGTGTGTTTGTTTGTGTATGTGTATTTGTATGTATGTCTTGTGTGTGTTTGTCTGTATGTATGTGTCTGTATGTATGTGTGTCTTATGTATGTGTCTTTGTATGTATGTGTTTGTCTTTGTATGTGTCTTGTGTGTGTGTGTGTGTGTGTGTGTGTGTCTGTCTATATGTGTGTATGTATGTGTGTCTTGTGTCTGTCTGTATGTGTTGTTTGTGTATGTGTCTTTGTATGTATGTGTGTCTTTGTATGTATGTGTGTCTTGTGTCTGTCTGTATGTGTGTATGTGTCTTTGTATGTGTGTCTTATGTGTGTGTCTTTGTATGTGTGTGTCTGTATGCATGTCTGTGTGTGTGTCTGTATGTATGTGTGCCTGTCTGTTTGTATGTATGTGTCATGTGTGTGTGTCTGTATGTGTGTGCCTGTCTGTCTGTATTTGTGTCTTGTGTGTGTGTCTGTATGTATGTATGTGTGCCTGTCTGTTATAGTGGGCTATAGTAAGTAATAGTAAGTGGGATACCTAGCTCAGACTTCCTACTGGGCATTGCTATAAGGAAGGTTTAAAAAAATGTTAAAAAGGGGGAAAAAAAGGTGGGGAGGGGAATTGAGGAGGAAGAGGAGGGGAGCTGACGCACAGATGAGAAATCATATTATGCGCAAACAGAGAATTTGTCTGAATATCACCAAAAGAGGAGACCTTCGTTTGTTCCTTACGAAAATCGAACCAGATATCAAATATTTAGTCTTGCAGCATCAACCTCAAGGATCTCATTAATCACTAGTAAAGGTAATTTAATTTTATTTTATTGTTTTCTCATTAAACTTTATAAAGTTAAAAACACTATAAACATGCATTAAGTAGAAATAAGTAGAAATAAAAAGATAAATGTACGTACTTTTATTTTTTATTTTTTTTAAAAACACCCTCCTTTCTAAAAAATATTCTGCACTTGCGCGAAAACTGGTGGCCGGTAAAGAAATGTTTTCAACCAAAAAGATGCATTAGTGGGCGGTAGGTAGAAAAAGGTTGACTACCACTGCTCTAACTCGTTGGTCAGTTCAAAGGTTTCCAGTCAGTTGGTTACTGTTAATGTTTCCAGCCATTCATTGTAATATTCTTGTTTAATTGAAGAATCTCCATGCAGATCTCTTTCCATGCACAATTGATATGATAATTCGTCTTTTAAAGGCCTCTTATACCAGCCTAAGACAAGTTTGGAAAACTTCTTTATTTAAGGCTTTGGTATATTTGTCATCATAAATATTTTATCTGTTTTTATTCTTTTACTTTCTCTCTATTTCCTCTCTTAACCTGTTTCTATTTTTTCTATATAATATAAGCATAGATAAAGGAGACATGTAACCTTGCGACATTTATCATTATTACAATATCTATCAAGCCATTAATATTTGGCTGATCAGGAAATTCAAATAGAAAAAGAGAACAACAGAAAAAGAAGAAGAAAACTAAATCTCTCCCAAAAACAAAACAATAAGTAGAGTAAATATTAAAATGTTTTCAGTCGTGGGGGAATGTATCCACAAGCCTTTATTTTTATTTTATTTTTTATTTTATTTTATTTTTTGCCTATTTTCGGACCATATTTTATTATGTTGCCAATAATAATTCCTTCTCTTCTTGTTCTAATATTTCCAGCCAATTTAACCATGTGTCTATGTCCCTATATTGATTTCTAATTTTATTTACACCTATTTCCATTTGAATCTGGAATTGAACCTGTTGAATAAGATGTAACATAGAAAATGCTTGTGTTTTCTTCCAGTTTCTAGCTATTATGATTTTTACAGCTACAAGGCAGTGTATTATCAACACTTGTTCTAGCTTTTTCATATTAGGCCATCCTAAGTGAAGCAGCATCACTTCTCGTCTAGATATTATTATGATATTACCCAATCTGCTTAGTATGGATTTAGCCATTTGCCAAAGGGGGGCCACTTTTTCGCAATTCCACCATATATGTAGATAATCTCCCTTTCTCTCCCCACAAAAAGGGCAAATGTGATTACCATGTTAAGGCTATTGTGATTTTGGTTGCAAAAAAAAAAAAAACAGTATATAGCAAGGCATTTTTGCGAAATAGAGGATATAGTCCAGTTTAAATGTAGTAAGGCAACCGCAGGTTCTTTTTTTAAATGTATTTTAAATCGAGATCTAAGTAAGTCATAAGCCCATGACCATAAAGGATTTAGCAGTTTACAGTACCACCACATATGTAAAAAAGAGCCATCCAAACCTCCACATCGTCAACAATGTGGATTTTATATGGATACATTTTAGAAAGCCTATACGGCGTCAGATGCCATTTATATCTTATCTTATGTTGACATTCTATTGGGTTCAAACAGTGAATGTATTTTCGTATATTCTTAAGAGTGTAACACCATTTTTTTACAGTTATATCTATATCCAAAATAATTTTCCACTTCTCAACGATATATAACGGTTTTTGGTCAGAAAGAGTTATTAAGTTGACTGCTTTGGAATTTATTTTATTTACTCTGGTATAATTAAAAATTGATAGAATTAAAGAATCCAATTTAGATGTATTTCGCAATAGAGCTTTGTTTAAGAAATTCTTGATTCTCAAATAGGAGAAAAGTTTTTTATTAGATAAATGTAATTTGAATTTAATGTCAACAAAGGGTATTAATTGATCTTTTTGCCAGACATCTTTAATACTCCATTGGTGTTTAGGCCAATTATTTAAAGAGATATCTTGCATGTTATCTTCCAAAACAGCCAAATGGCACGTATTAATTACTTTGTGGGAGATTTTTAAAAGTTTTTTCCAATATGTCCCAAGCCTAGATGATCTGTGATATTAAAGATTTACTTTTTTTTTTTTTATTATTCTTTATTTTATATGTGCAGGCATTAGACAAGCAGAGTTGCACTGCCACAGCAGCTGGTGCAAGACGATTTTTACACATATGTTAACAGTAGTATGGCATCAAAAACATTGCACATTTTTTATATAGGGGGAGAAAACAAGTTAAATCTTAAGCTTATATTTCGCAGCAATAAACAGTAAATACTGGTTAGTGTGATGGGTCGTATGCTGACATGAGGAATTCAGAGGATAGGAACCCCTGGCTCACCCTGTGGATTAATCATGTTCAACTAATAAAGTTAGCTGTGTCAAGAATGCCAGTGCTTGCGAGGGCAAATTAAAAACAAAGGAGGACTAAACAGTAAATAACATTTGCGTATGATCTATATGAAGATGTGCTGTGCTAGGGGGCAATACAGGCTGTGAGCCTGTGGAATTGGTCTGTCGTTAGAGATATGCTAAGCACTCAAGATTAACATGTTAAGCAGGCTGCCCGTACCTACTATATGGTGGGTCACCTGTTTATGGTATCACAGGCTGTATGTGTGGGAACATGTATGAATAGAGCTTCTGGGCATCCTATCAGTAATGTAAGAGGGCCCAGCAGTACAAGTACCAACCGGTAAAATAGGAGGAACAAGGGCTAAAATAAAACTTAAACAACAAAAATTACCAACTCAAATATGGTGTAGCCTCTCTGGTTTGTCATCTGACCTAGCCAACTCTATTATTACTGTGGGTCTCTGGGTGGGTACAGAATGAGGTGTTTAGCTGATCCCTGCCAGAGGCAGAGGTGAGTGAGACACATGTAAGTCCAGGTGGGGAACCTCTCTGGCGTAAAAGGGCACTATGCTCCTCCGGCCCCAGGACGGTATGAGGACCTGCATTTGGATTCCGTGGACTCGGGAGCCTTGAGGTGCCAGGTCCTTCTCCTGTCTGGGGGGGACTGAGTGTCTGGGTGGTAGGTGCCTTTTTCTGCGGACATTCCTCGGCTGTCGTGGGTGATGCATGAAGGCTGTGCCTCGGGGGGACCTCAGTCCAGGCGGTCGGACTGTAGGGTGTGCCCAGGCTTGTTTAGCTATTCCGCCTGGAGGAAATCCATTTCGCCTCAGCTCGATGTCATGTTGCTCGGGCATGGTCAATGCCGGTGGCTGTCGTCTATTTTCCAATCTTTTCCAGAATTGCTGGCATATCGCTTCAAATTTATGTGTGAAAGCTGTTTCCCAGTCGCTTAGTGTCCTCCGTTCCAGAGGGATTGCGGTGCCGTCGGCCATCTTAGAGATGTCTCGTGTCAGTCGTCTACAGGAGATATCTCCCAGGAGTGATCCAGGGGTGACTGCTCGCTTGTAGTGGGGGCCGGGATAACCCCCACCGGCCTAGAGGGGGAGGGAGTGCGGGGCTCTGAGAGACCTCCAACAAAGGGAGTCAGGAGTGGTCAGCCGTTTCACCTGTCGGGGAGCCACCAGGCCGCAGTAGCTGTAGGCCGCAGACACCAGTCGAGAGTGGTGGTGCCAAGACACTCTTCAAAGTTGCTCCGTCCTGTCTGGTAAAGGCAACGATTTATCAAAGTCAAGTGTCAGCGTATTTTTGTCTGGCAAAGCTTATTTTAAGTGAGTTTAGGCAGGAGCACAGGCTATGTGCGACCTGCCAGCATGGTGTCCAGGCTCCACCCCCTAAAGATTTACTTTTTAATTGATCAGTAACTTTTTTATTACTATTTAACCATAAATATACTTCTAATCTATCTCTTCCTACTGCCTCAGACTCTATAATATACCACATGTCTTTTTTAAAAGACTCTACTTGTAGCTCATATATATGTCCAATAATATTAGAAAAATAGCAATTTTTTATATCGGGATAATTCAAACCCCCATGGCTGTATTTTCTTGTAAGTACCTTAGAGCTTATTCTGGCTTTTTTATTTTTCCATATAAACGTCTGGAAACTGGATTGGATCATGGTTAGCCAACTGTCTGGCATCTGGAAGGGTAGCATTCTGAACTGATAAGACCATATATGCGTTTATAATGTTAATCCTGCCAGACCAAGAGGATTCCAAAGTGCGCCACTCTTTTAGCTTTATATTAGTATATTTTAAAAGATTTAGGACATTTATTTCCATAATATTAGCAGTCTGTATCGGAATTATCACCCCTAAATAATTAAATTTATCCTTAGACCACGTGAAGTTATATTTTTCTTTAAGATCATATAAGTAGTGGTTTTCAACTTTGTTAGTTAAAGCAATTGATTTGGATACATTTCATTTGTAATTTGATACTTCACTATACTTATTTATTTTGTGTAATACTAAGATATTTCTCTGGATGAAAGATATAGTAAAAAATCATCGGCATATGATATTTTGGCTTCTAATTTATTAGTTGAAAATCCCTTACGTATATGGCTTGCTCTAATATTGATTGCTAACGGTTTTAGCAACAAAACGTAGAGAAGGGGGATAAAGAGCAGCCCTGCCTGGTGCCATTACATAGATTGAACCAATTAGATACTATATTTACCCCAACTGTTCTTGCCATTGGTTCAGAGTAAAAGGCCATAATAGCTCCACGGATCCAACCCACAAAATCAAAGGAAGTCAGAACTGCATCAAGGAATCCCCAGCTGACCTCGTCAAAAGGCTTTCTCGGCATCCAATGACAGAGTCAGCATCGGAATCCCCAGACGCTCCGATCTGTCCAGTATATCCAGAATTCTTCTGGTACAACTTTCTGAAGATCTACCCGGAATAAAACCAACCTGGTCCGGATAAATAACTAACTTTCTCAATAAGCTATTTTAATCTGGATGCTAGAATTGCTGCATGTATTTTCATATCTATAGTTATTAATGCAATTGGTCTATAAGTACTAACATCCCTAGCATCTTTGTTAGGTTTTAATATTGGTAAAAGATTAGCCTGTAATAATTCCTTCAGGGTTTTAGTTTTTTTTAGCCATTTCGTTTTCAAATCTTTTTGCTCCAAGTCTAACTCAAAAATCCTGCTTAAGTTCAATTCTTTCTAAGGGCATTATCAAAATCAGCATCATTTTCAGTCAGGTTGGGAGATCTGTATTTTTCAAAGTGTTTTTTTTTTTTTTTTAAACCAATAAACAACCATGAATTTGGAAAATTGGTTATAGCAGGGAACTCTTCAGAGAAAAATTATTACTACTTCTACCTGTTCGGCACTTATAGAAACTGAGAAAGAAGACACAACTAAAAATCCAGAAAACATGCCTGAAATAGTTGTATCTACTGTTCCTCAAATAGCAGAGACCAGTGACAAGTCAAAAAAAAAAAAACATACAATGCTAGCCAATCTTCTTATCAAACAAAGAAAATACGATGATAGCTACTTATCATTTGGATTCACAAATGCCAGAAATGAAGATTGTCCTGAAGCACAATGCGTACTTTGCAATAAAATATTGCCATACAGTTCATTAGCACCTACTAAATTACGTCGTCATTTTGAGCAAAACCACGCAGCGTACAAAGATAAAGACATTGACTTTTTTAAGAATTATCAGAAGAGTAAACTATTAATGAGCAAAAAAATTCAGAATGCTAATTAAGAAAAAAACGCAGAGGCTTCTCACAGAGTGAGTTACCGCATAGGACTTGCACACAATTGGGGAATCACTAATAAAACCATGTGCAAAAGAAATAGTGCCATGTATTTTAAGTGAGAAGTTGAGTAAAAAAAATTGAAGCTGTGCCATTTTCCAACAACATAGTTTTGCGCAATATTCATGATCTTGCTGATGACATCCATACTGAACTAATTTCTTGACTGCATCGTAGTGATGGGTACTCACTGCAATTAGACGAGTCCACAGATGTTGCAGGACTTTCAGTTTTGTTGGTTTTTGTTAGATATAATTTTGACAAACAGATTGAAGAAGACTTGCTTCTGTGTAAAACTTTGAAAAATCATACCACTGGTGAGAACATCTCTAACTGTATCCAGAAGTTCATGAACACACACAGTATAAATTGGGACACATGTGTAGATGTGTGCAGTGATGGTGCCACAGCAATGGTTGGGAAAGTGGCAGGCACTGTGACACGAATAATAAATGTAGCAAAAAAGAGCACAAGTTCTCACTGTGTTCTTCACAGACATGCACTGGTAGCTAAATATATTTCAATCTCACTTAAAACTGTACTAGACAGTAGACAAATCGGTCCAGATTATTCTTTTTATAAAAAGTCGACCATTACAGTCACGACTATTTAAAATTATATGTGAAGATATGGGTAGTCACCACTCTGCTCTGCTTTTGCATTCAGAGGTCCGTTGGCTATCACAAGGTAAAGTCCTTGTTAGAATGTTTGAATTGCGTCAAGAGTTGTTTGCATATTTCCAGGATCATAAATTTGGATTATCTGATCGGTTAACAAACACTCTGTAGTTATCCAAAGTAGTATATCTTGCAGACATATTCACAAAATTAAATGACATATGTTTATCACACCAAGGAAAAAACACTAATATTTAATGCAATAGATAAAATATTTTCACTGTCTCGTAAGCTGCAGTTTTGAACTCTTTGCCAACACTTGAAGATTAAATTTGCAATGAGGTTGTAGATCATCTTTGCCATTTAATTACATCTATTAATCAGTATTTTCCATTCTTGAATGAAAACAACAATGACTGGGTTCGAAATCCATTCATAAAAGACAAGGTAGCTAATTTTTCTGATGTAGATTTTGAGAATCTGATTGAAATAACTTCTGACAGTCAAAGATGTTTCTTTTATTGCTTTTTGGGGTGATTTACGCGAAGAATACCCAGAATTGTCCAAGCGGGCAATCAAAGTTCTGTTGCCATTCGCCAGCACATACTTATGTGATGATTCTCGCTCTACTCTGCAACAAAAACAAAGTATCGAAATCGACTTGACACAACTGAAGACATGCAAATACAATTGTCAACAATTAAACCAGATATAAAAAGAATTTGCCAGCAAAAGAGAACATTACACTCTGCTCATTGAAAGGCTTGTGCTGCGCTACTCTACGGCGCACATTTTTTTTGTTGGGGTTCCAAAGTTTTGCTATACCATGTTAAAGGGTTCCAAGGGAAAGATTCATTGGGAAACCCTGCTCTATAGACTTAAATGTAGCTTAAAGGACCACTCTAGGCACCCAGACCACTTCAGCTTAATGAAGTGGTCTGGGGGCAAGGTCCCTCTAGGATTAACCCCTTTTTTTTTTATAAACATAGCAGTTTCAAAGAAACTGCTATGTTTATAAATGGGTTAATCCAGCCTCCAAATCCTCTAGTTTCTGTCTCATTGACAGCCGCTAGAGGCACTTGCGTGCTTCTCACTGTGAAAATCACAGTGAGAACACGCAAGCGATAGGAAAGCATTGCATTGCGCATTCAGCCGAAGAGGAGGATCGGAGGCGGAGAGGAGGAGGAGGAGAGCTCCAGGCCCGGCGCTGGAGAAAGGTGAGTGTTTAACCCCTTCCTCTCCCCAGAGCTTGGCGGGAGTGGGACCCTGAGGGTGAGGGCACCCTCAGGGCACTATAGTGCCAGGAAAATGAGTATGTTTTCCTGGCACTATAGTGGTCCTTTAAACTGAGAAAAAAAAAATTTATTTCATTCAATTTTTAAACATTTTTAAACAAGCAATTCTATCATAATCAAAAGAACTTACTGATTAATTTGTTAACTGAAACAAAATGTATTTTTGTACTGCGTGTCAGAGGATTTCACCTGCTATAAGAAGACTCACTGGTTATCTGGGAACAAATCCCCTCACACTTGAGAAACCCACAAGCATTGTCTGTGGATTCAAAGCAAATTTAAAAACCGTTAGGACACAGTAGCCAAATTGAAAAAAATTCTCCAAGTTAGCTACTTTATCGCTACATTGGTTATTTTGGACAGGGCAGAAAAAAAGAGCTATCAATGGTTGCAATCAGATTTCTGAGAAGGCAGGTTGTGAAAAACCCTCGAGTGACTGAATAGGACTTGCAGCAAGACTTTGGAGGAGAGGCTGTAGTGGGGAGGTAGGGGCTATAGTTGGGAGGAAGGGGCTGTAGTGTGAGATCAGGGAGTGTAGTAGGGAAAAGGAGCTATAGTGGGGACAGGGACTGTAATGGTAGGACAGGGGCTGTAGTGGGGGGAAAGGGGTTGGAGTGCATGGGTTATTGTGCGCAGGCAGGGGATATGGTGCAGACACAGTGGCTATAGTGGGGGTATAGTGGCTATAGTGGGGGACAGGGACAGTAGTTGGGAGGACAGGGCTGTAGTAGGGGAATCTTTGATATCTACACCGGCCATACCGCCCCTATCCTGCCTTCCGCCCTGAGGATGTGGCTTTGGTGGCATTATGGCAAATCCAGCCCAGGTGCCCCAAATCCATTATCAAGGCCTAGAGTCCTGTGACATTACTCCCAACAATCAGGAAGGGAGAACTGAGATGGAGTGGGCAGAACCATGAAGGGGCATCACCAGTAAGTGACTCATATACTGTGCCAGCAAGCTCAGTACAGGCCCCTGCATGGTGCTAGTTTCAGCTGCACATCTACAACACATCTAATGATGCTCTCGCACTCTTCTGCGACAGCACTATGACAGCTCTCTGTTGTCCCTAAATGCGGGACACCATGGAACTAGAGCAGGATGGCAGGACAGGACCCTGTAATCAGAACTTGCCCACAAAAAGTGAGACTATTGGGAGGTTTGTTTGGAGATGTTAATGATTCTCTGCCACCACCATATCAGTGTGAAAGTCAGCGAGCTTGGAAATTACAACTCTGGTAGCCTAAATGTTGCAGCTTGTTTGCCAACTTACCATACTGTTTAATGAATAGACCTCCCCGGAGCATTATAATGTCATGGACTGCTGGTGTATCATCATTGTGCTATGCTCTCAGCACCTACTGGATCTGTTGTATGAAGAGCTGTCCTTTAACAATGGCCAGATAAATGTATTTGTTTCCAGAGAGATAAAAAAAAAAAAAAGCCCTGTGTGGCAGCAAAATCAATTCCCCTTAGAGAACCTCTTGGCCCTGTTACAAAAACCGGACTGTCTCCTGAAAGAAGTAGAGCTATTTTTCAAGCGAAATAATTCATTCCATGAGCACAAGGCAGTGCCATAAGTGAAACACTGTCAAGGACTAAGTGTTATTTTAACATAGCAAATAACATGCACTATGTGCAGAAAAGGTTGTTATTGTTAATGGACTGAATGCACTCGTTTGCCAAGATTTGACCTTGTAACTTTTTTCTCTCTTTTGCTTACTGTCCAAATTTTAAGAATTATTGCAGACTCTTTATAAACTTCAACTTAAAGGATACAAAGTGCAAACTGTGGGTCTGAAGTCTGTGAGTGATTTGGAACTTCTATGCAGCTTACAACTTTAACTCATTTATAGTCAGCACGTAGTGAGCTGCTTTTAATTCTGGCTGCAGACAGTTAGAGGAACTATAAACGGGTAGTGATATGTAACTATATGTCTCCCTCAGTGTCCGCTCATTATGTCAGTGGCAGAGCTGTGTGCATACATTAGATAAGGAAGTCTTTTACGGAAGTGACAGGGAGTGGCGAAGTATATACGGTTCAGCATTTTGCAAAACACAAAATATATATTTTTTATGCAGAAAGTATAAATATTTGAGTATGTAAAACATATAGCATATAAATGACACCAAAAAAAGTTGTATTGGAGCTTGGAGTGTCCCTTTATTCCTTTTGGTTTGACCTGTAGTTCAAATCATTTGCAAAACAGTATGGCAAGTAAACTTGTACATTTGGTTCCAAAGGGCATGCAAATAGTCTGAATATTGGCCGATTGATGGGTCGCTTGATTTCCAAAACCACGAAGAGCCATATGGACAAATCATGAAAAACAAGAACAACCTACGCAATGGCCAACAGTTTAGTTTGTTTTGGGATTCGGAGTTCTGGTAAGAGAACCAGAAAATGGGGGTGGGAATGGAAACAAATATATTTTGTTGGGGGAGGGGCATTTAAGCAGCATAGTTTGCCATGATGAGCAAGAGATCTTCCCAATGATGTTGACTGTATCACCTGTTTAATACAGAGGTGGAAAAGAATATGATTGATGGTTAGAGGACAGTTACTCAGTTATTCAGTTCATTCATAGATCAAGTGAAGTGAGCAATAGAGCAGAAAAAAGGAAAGCAGACAACTAGACATACAAGCATGATTCTTCTAGACACATAGACTTCAGCTATTGAGGGAGAAAAAACAAACAAAGTGACTAATCTTACTCTTGATGGGCTTGTGTGGGAGTTGGAGATCCCTGTGCCTACACCAACTTTGAGCGGGAGATAGCCTGAGTCAATGATCCTAGTGTGAAATTGGTTACTGCTTGTCACGTCCTGTTCCATTCTATGGATATTTCTGGCCTTGGCTTCTGATATCCAGTACTCTTTTTACAATTCTTGTTTAGTTTCTCTTGGTTTTTCTGGTTTTCTATTCTATGTCTGTTTTTCCTTATGCTGGGTTCTCTGGGTTCATTCCTTTATTCCGTTCCTGGAATTCCCAGTCTCCTGGATTCCTTTAAATGTTTGGTTTTTGTTGCCACACCCTTTCCTTTGCCATTAATCCTTTTTTGTTTTAGTCTGTTCCTGCAGGCAGTGGTTTCATTTTTGCTGCTCCTTTCTTTGCAGGTAAGTACTGTGTGTGTTTTATTGTTGTTTATTTAGTCATGCATATCTAGGCAGTTAGGACCCACCGTAATGGGAGTACTTTGGCGCAGTGGTGGGCTGCATACATCTTGGCCTTTTATGTATGTTTAAATTTACAATGATTATTACATATAAAGTACTTTATGTCTCCTCTTGGTTTGCCTTGTATCTCTTGTCTCATTTTATTTTGTCTTGTATTCCCAGTTCATGAGAATGGTAGTGGATTCAGCGCTTGATGTCTCAACGTAATAGTGTAGAGTGTGTAAACAGGCAGCAACCTAAAAAGACGTTCCCTCGCAGTACGTCAGAGAAATAGAAATGATAAAAAAAGGGGGGTATTAGGTTGCGCCAATAAATAAATAAATAAATATAACAGGAAAAGGGTAGTATAATAGTTAATAAAAACTAAAAAGTCTCTTCACATAAAACACATGTAAAAAGTGGATAAAGTTCTTACAAATGGCAATATAGACATGAAATGGATAAACAGTCCTAAAAATGAGCAGGGAATAGTGCCGCCCACTTGAAGGGAGGAAACAGTCCTGATAAAATTGAAGAAATGGATGGAGTATCTTGTTCCAGGTGTCAATATGCAAAAGAAAATAGGGAGAGGAAAATCCAATAGTGCAGAGTGTATCTTCCGCTTATTTATGGAGATTCAAAGTGAAAAAGAATCACACTCACCTATAATAGAGCTAAAACTAGCTTGGGTGTATTTCGCATTCAGTGGTACTGGTCCCCCACTGGTGGGATATAGACGAATGTGCGTGGCAGAGATCCTCGGGAGAGAAGAGGATAACACAGAATAGTGCTCACTGTATCAATGCGGCAGTTATATAAAAGTAAAGTATATATAAAATACTCACATTTGGGTGAGCAGGTGTCAGGGTTTCTTTGCTGTTTTAAACAGCCACCCTTCCTTTTTCAGTGTCTGAGGTTTCAGCTGTAATTAACTATCAGCTCCTTCAGCATGTTGCCACGGTTACTCACCTGAGAATAATAATCAACCCTGCTGCTAATCAGTTCAGCCTATTTAAGCAGCAAATCCCAGAACCTCCTTGCCCTTGCGTGGTTTCCTGTCCCCCAGAAGTCTCCTTGTTCCTGTGTTTCCTGTTTGCTCCTGGTTCCTGACTCTGGCCTTGTTCCTGACTCCGCTGACCTCCGTGCTCCTGATCCTGGCTCGTCTGACTACCCGCTCTGGTGACTGACCCCTGCTTGCCTCCTGGACTTTGCTTTTGGTGATTTCTTTGTTGTTTATTAAATAAAGGTGTTTTTGCATCTAGATCTGTCTCTGTCTGGTTCCTGGTTCCTGACATTACGCAAGGGCCATGAATACAGATGGTACAGGCAATACACCTATACCTAACCTATTTACCCGGTGGGACCAGCAGAACCACCATTTGGACCAGTATGCCAATCTGAATCCAAAACCCGGCCAGCCTGCGATTGCGGCCGCCTCTGCCTCACTTCCTGTTCTAGCACCAGTTGTAACCTCTGAACCTGTTGCGGCTAGAGGAATGACTGGGTCTGTCCCGCTCCCTCAGTATTTTGGGGGCAACCCAGCTCAGTGCAAAGAATTTATAAATCAGGTTAAAGGATACCTTGAAATGCTGCCCCAGGCATTTCCTACAGACAGCGACAAAGTCCAGTTCATGATTTCTTTGCTGTCTGAAAAAGCCCTAGCTTGGGCAAAACCTCTCTGGGAGGCAGAGAGGCCCATCATTTACAATTACCCTGAATTTGTTGTGTCCTTTAAAAGGGTTTTTGATATTCCAGCTCGCTCCACCCCTACTGCCAAACAACTCATGTCTAATACTCAGGGCACAAAAACTATTGTTGAGTATGCCAGTGAATTCCATACCATGGCAGCAGAGGGTGGCTGGAATAACGAGATTCTTGTGGCTGCCTTTGCACAGGTGCTATCCGATGTAATGAAAAATGAGATTGCAGGCAGAGAATTACCTAAAGATCTCGAGGAACTGATATCATTTGTCACCCTCATTGACATCAGACTCCGAGAGAGATCCTCATCCAGGGAGCGCCTGCGGAGGCCTCCAGTAGGTTTGGCACCGAGCTTTTCCTGCCCACCCAAACCTCCCTCACCTCCCATGCCTCCTGGCCCTGAGTCCTCTGTCGGTGTGGAGCCGAGGCGGTTAGGCTTCTCACGCCTCTCTGTCGAGGAGAGAGCCTTTAGGAGGAGGGAGGGCCTGTGCCTATACTGCGGACACCACGGTCACATATTAAAGTTTTGCCCGATTCGTCCGGTAAAGGGCCCGTACCCAAGATACTGTCAGGGGCAGATCTTGGGGGGTCTTTCTGCAGACCCAGAGATAAATAAGGACAAAACCTTGGTGCCTATTATCCTCTCCTGGCCGGAGTCATCCATTAAAACCCGGGCATTTCTTGATTCTGGGGCCGCAGGCTTGTTTATAGATTGTGCATTTGCATCAGAGCACTCTATACCCTTACAGCCTCGCAACTCCCCACTAGCTTTCGAAGCCATCGATGGCCGACCTATACAGCCAGCCCTCGTGACCCAGGAAACCGTACCCATATCTCTGGCTGTAGGGGCTCTACATCATGAGAAGATCCAATTCCAGGTCATTTCCTCTCCTTACTACCAGGTTATTTTAGGATACCCTTGGCTACAGAAGCATAACCCCACAATTGATTGGCGCAAATCTGAGATATTATCTTGGTCCCAGCAATGCACATTTTCCTGTCTCCGGAAACCGGTCAAAGTTTTGGGCACAATTTCTGCCTCTTCCTTACCCGCTGAGTACCAAGAATTCCAAGATGTATTTGACAAAGGTCAAGCTAGCGTTCTGCCACCACACCGTCCGTATGACTGTGGTATCGAACTCCAACCTGGTGCCAATCCTCCCCGTGGACGGGTTTACCCGCTGTCTGTAGCAGAGAATCGAGCCATGGAGGAGTATGTTACTGATGCGTTGTCAAAGGGATTCATTCGGAAGTCATCTTCTCCTGCCGGGGCCGGCTTTTTCTTTGTGAAAAAGAAGAGTGGTGAGTTGAGACCCTGTATCGACTATAGGGGTCTCAATCGCATTACTATTAAGAATGCCTACCCCATTCCATTGATCACTGAGTTATTTGACCGCCTCAAGGGAGCAACGGTCTTCACTAAACTTGATCTGAGAGGGGCATATAATCTCGTCCGGATAAAAGAGGGCCACGAATGGAAAACCGCATTTAACACCAGGAGCGGGCATTACGAATACCTAGTAATGCCCTTTGGTCTTTGCAACGCTCCGGCGGTTTTCCAGGAATTTATAAATGACGTCCTGCGAGATATGCTGCAGCAATGTGTGGTGGTTTATCTTGATGATATTCTTATCCATTCCACATCTCTCGAGAATCACCACGCAGACGTTTCTAGTGTTCTACAGAGACTTAGAGAAAATAATCTGTTCTGTAAATTGGAGAAATGTGAGTTCAATTGCAAACAGGTCACATTCTTGGGCTATGTTATCTCTGATACTGGATTCTCTATGGATCCAGAAAAACTTTCTGCTGTACTAAAATGGCCTCGACCTACGGGTCTTCGCTCTATACAGCGTTTTCTTGGCTTCGCCAATTATTATCGGAAGTTCATACGCAACTTTTCCTCCTTGGTTAAACCACTCACGGATATGACCAGGAGAGATGCTGATCCACAGCATTGGTCACATGAAGCCATTTCTGCCTTTGAGTCTCTCAAAGTCGCCTTTGCTGCTGCTCCTATACTGGCACACCCTAACCCTGCCTTACCATTCATTCTTGAAGTCGATGCGTCTGAGACAGGAGTAGGCGCCCTCCTGTCTCAACGTCCTAACCCAGAGAGCTCCAGGCATCCGTGCGGGTATTTCTCGAAGAAATTAAACCCGGCGGAATGCAATTACCAGATTGGTGATAGAGAACTTCTAGCCATAATATTAGCTCTCAAAGAATGGAGGCACCTTCTTGAGGGTACTTCAGTGCCAATTCTCATCCTCACAGACCACAAGAATCTGACATATCTTTCCGAAGCTAAGCGACTTTCCCCCAGGCAAGCTAGATGGGCTCTCTTCCTATCAAGATTCAATTATGTGGTTTCTTACTTGCCCGGTACTAAAAACATTCAGGCTGATGCCTTGTCCCGACAGTTCTCCCCTCCATCTAGAGAGGAGATAACCCCTACTCCTGTGATTCCTCCGGATCATATACTGGCCACCATCCGTACTAGCCTCACCTCACACCTAGGCGAGGAGATTCTGGCTGCACAAAGTAATGCTCCTCCAGAGAAACCTAATGGCCGTTGTTTTGTACCCATCCATCTCCGTACTAAATTATTAAGTACTTATCACAACTCCAAAGCAGCTGGACATCCAGGCAAAAACCAATTAATCTGGTCCGTCTCTCGGCAATTTTGGTGGCCTAGTCTCCGTTCGGATGTCACTGCTTTTGTAGCTGCCTGTCCTGTATGCGCTCAAAATAAAACCCCATGACACCCTCCAGTGGGTCTCCTGCAAACCATACCTAATGGTGAACGACCCTGGACTCACTTGTCCATGGATTTTATCGTAGCTCTTCCGGTCTCCCGTGGCAATACAGTCGTTCTCATGGTTGTTGATCGATTCTCAAAGATGTCGCATTGCATTCCCTTGAAAAAACTACCAACTTCTCAGGAACTTGCAACAATTTTTGCTCGGGAGGTCTTTCGTTTGCATGGGTTACCCAAAGTGATAATCTCAGATAGGGGTAGCCAGTTTGTGTCCAGATTTTGGAGAGCATTTTGTACACAAATGGGAATTCAGCTCTCCTTCTCCTCTGCCTACCACCCGCAATCCAATGGTGCCGCGGAACGAGCTAACCAAACACTGGAACAGTTTCTGCGTTGCTACATTTCTGACCACCAGAACAACTGGTCTGATCTGCTACCCTGGGCGGAGTTTTCCCACAATAGTGCGAT